CCCTCAGCTCTCCAGCTCCGTACCCCTCAGCTCTCCAGCTCCGTACCCCTCAGCTCTCCAGCTCCGTATCCCTCAGCTCTCCAGCTCCATACCCCTCAGCTCTCCAGCTCCAGGGTCTAACACCCCAGCCGCACCTTGGCCTACTGCTGTAGCAAGTGGACCTACTGCCAAGAGGAACTTCCTGGCACATCCCTGGTGATCAGGAGGGAATAGGTATTTGCAAGAGCTTGCATGCTTTGTCCACTGACCATCAGTGACACAGCCAGGAAGGCATAGCTGTCCCATATTATAGATGAGGAAACTGAGGCTTTGTTTGGACTGATGATCAAGGGAGGCAACATGTGGTATGTGGCCTGAGGAATCTCTGCCTATCCTGAGTAATGAGGGAGGCGGCCTGACCCCCTGCGTGTGATACATCAGGAAGCTGTAGAGCTGCTCCTCGGGGGTATTCTTAGTCGAGACAGGTCTCCCCGGGCAGTAATGGCATCTTCTCCCCACTTGTCTCGGATGTGGGGGACTGAGTGGGTACTGCTAAACTCACACGACTTCCCTAGAAGTTGCACTCCAAGGTACAAAGTGGCCAGGACTCTCCCAAGCTGCCCCAGTCACTCATCCAAGGGCTAAGGATGCGTGAAACTCAGCTGACTGAGCCAGGATGACAATGCATCTGGCCAATGCTATGTCCTCCAGAGGGTGAGGCAACACTCTGAGCCCCTTGTCCAGTGGAGACCACAAGGCTGTTTGGTGGGGCCACGGTCCTGGGCAGCCGGAAAGGCAGCAGTAATACCTATTCCACGTACGCCTGACCTCAGGCTGCTTTGGCTCTAGACTCAAAAAGCCTGACTATGGCACAGTGGAGTCCCTGGTAGGTAGGCTGGAGGCCTTACCATCAGGTAACACATCAGTGTCCAGGCTTGGAGAACTTAGACCCTATTTTCCCAAGTGCTATCATCTCACAGAGCACTCTACTCCCTGCTGTGGGGACAAGACCTGTCCATCCCTGACCTCGCTGGTTCTGCTATCTATCTGTCTCTGTTTCCCAGGGCTCCTAGTAGAGCAAGGAGGGGGCTCACTGAGACAAGGGTAGTCCTGGGGTGGCCCCACCCAGGCTCTGAACTGACTCATCTGCTCAGCTTCCGAGTGGCCGGGTAAGGGCTTGGTGCCCCGGAGCCTGGCAGGCCGTCACAGGCCTGTATAAAAGCAGGCTAGCCCAGTCCGCGGCACTCACCTGTCACTCTCTGCTGCTGAACGATGCTGGGAGGCCTGGGGAAGCTGGCGGCCGAGGGCCTGGCCCACCGCACCGAGAAAGCCACTGAGGGAGCAGGTAAGGGCTGGGCCTTTCTACCTGCCCGGAAGGTGGGGGCAGCCTTCCCTGGGCCTTTCGAAAGCTGTTATCAGGAGGCAGGCACGAGCCTTGGGGTAGACTGAGGCTGAGGCCCATCAGGAAGCTTGGTTTACTGACCCCATCAGGAGGTAGCAGAGCTGGGGGCACACCCGCTGGAGTAGGTGCTCACTGTAGAGCCCCTGTCCAAGCAGGCTTCCCACTAGGGGCTCCTCCACGACCCAGCCTGAGCCTGCTTGGAGGTCAGGAGGAGGCCAGCCCTGAGGAGGCTCCAGGAGGCAGGCAGAATCCGGGTGCTGGTGGCTTAGGTCCTTCTGTCTGGAAGCCTAGAGTACCTTTTATGCTAATATTGCTTATTCTAGGGCCTGAGTGTGTAGCTCAGTGAGAGAACATTTGTCTTTGTAAGGCCCTGGATTTTTTGCAAGAACTATAAAACAAAATGAAACAAAAATTCTGCATATTTTGATTAGTCTATGCAGAAAAAAAGGAAGGTGGATTTTAATTTTCATCATACTTCAAAGCTGTGCAGGATTTTTTATTATGAAACCATGGAGTCTGGTCCTGTTCAAAGTCTAAAAGGACATTTCTGTTTCTTCCAAGAACTTAGGACCTGGTTCTGTGTCTACATGTGCCAGTTCGCATGAGTCCCACTGTGGGACATAGGTGAAAACCTGCGTCAAATGTTTTTGCTGTTCTCTTTGGAGACAGATCAGCACTTGTTTCATTTTTAACTCCACAACTGGATCTTCTTAATCTTAATCCCTTCTTAATCTTCCAGCTGTGAGGGACCCAGCAGTGGAAGGTTGTGTTAGGGACACTTCTGTCTCTCAAGTCGTTGGGTCCTAGCATGTTCCCACCAAAACTCTCCAGAACTCAGAGGTGGGCAGGGACTCCTTCTTCTAGAGGAGCTTAGCTTCTCTGGAGGCAGACAGATGCGGCTGAAGCAAGTCAGTCAGCTCTTCCCGACAGGGTGGCTGATTGACAAACACACCTGCCTTGCCTCAGGTTTCCAGGAGGCAGAAGGCTGTTCTAGTTATCCTTGTCCTTCCAGGCTGAGGGGTGTGTGTGTGTGTGTGTGTGTGTGTGTGTTTGTGTGTGTGTGTGTTGTGCGTCTCCAGGAGCCAGGCATCTTGGGGGTCTACGAAGGGAGGCAGCTAAGGGTTTTCCTAAGCTGTCTCCCCTGACTAGGGCAGCACACCAGAGTCTTCCCTTATTGTCTAGAGGCATCCCCGGCATTGTGAGGGGAAGTGTTGACACACCTGCACTCTGACTTTGTCTTTTTTGTTCAGTTCACGCAGTGGAGGAGGTGGTGAAAGAGGTGGTGGACCACGCCAAGGAGGCTGGAGAGAAGGGTAAGGCTGACTTGTTTGAAGATGGGAATGGGGAGGAGGAGAGAAGGAAGGGGGAGAGGGGGGAGGGAGAGAAGGGCAGAGGGGTGGGGTGCAGCTCAGGGGTAGAGCACTTTCCTAACACGCGTGAAGTGGTCCCATTCCCAAGCAGGTAGGGAGACAGAGGAAGTCCAAGCACTAGAGCTAATCCTTTTCTTGCTCAACCAGACCCAGCCCTGCCCCAGATGGAGCATCCTCTCTGCTGGGCTGCAATTATCTGCACATCCCTGTATGCAATTATCTGTGCAGGCTGTACCTTGTGTTAGGGCTCCATCTAGGCTGTTTTCTCTGTGCAATGTTAAGAAGACAAAGCCACAAAAAGGGACGGGGCGGCACATAGGGACACAACAATTAAAATAGACAATTACATGTTTTAATATGTATTTGTATAAAAGTTTACTGTGTATGTGTTATGCCGTGAGTAGAACAGTGTACAAAACATATCTCACTCCAATCTCTACAACAACGTAGGGTCCAGCCAGGTGAAGGACTTACATTTAAACATACAAATACATTAAACTGTGTAAGCTCACCTAGCTAAAATGAAATGCCATAAATTCAGTGGTTCATAAACAGCAGAGATTGATTGCTTCTACAGTGAGGCACAGTGGATCATGTCTGTGATCCCAGAACTAGGGAGAATGAGGTGGGAAAACTGAGTTTGAGGCTAGCCCAGGTTATGGAGTGAGCCCAGCCTGAATTACATAGTGAGACTTTCATTCAAAAAGGAGGCGGCCAAGAGAAGGAAAAGAAAGAAATGTTACCCTCAGTGCTGAGGTCTGGGGGCCTCCGTGGCGGTAGCTGGGCACGTGGCGAAGCTGGCTCCGGCTCCCACGGGGCACCTTCTGCTGTGTCCTCACATGGCTGAAGCCTCAGCTTGCTCTCCTGGGCGTGACCCCTCTTGCTCATGAGGCTCCACCCATCCTGCTCCCCTAACCAGCACCACGGCTCCTACCTTTTCGTGGCACCATCTTGAGGAGGATTACAACATGGAGTTTTGGGGACACAAAAATTCAGACTAAGGAAGTGTCATAAGAGACTTCAGCATAATCTTTAAAAACAGGAACAAAACAACAGAGTCGTCATAAAGAAAGTATTAGGTAAATCTGTCAACATGAAACTTCACAATTTTACACAGGTGGGCGAAAAGGACGAACACAAAAAGCAAAGCAAAATGGAAGTGAAGTCAGAAAGAAGGCCACAAACTTCTTTGATGAAGTGTTCATGACAGAAACTGTAATCCAATATAGCAATCAGCATAAAAATGGTCAAAGAAACTAAGAAGCAGTCTCCAGAAAAAGTGTAAATAGCTAGGTCCCCCATCAGCTGTCCACGCTGTCTCACTCAAACCTGAAGAAATGAAAGTGGTCAGGAAGATCAAGCCACACTGGAATTCATTATGACAGGGGTACTCTTCCCTTTGTCCCCGGGAGCTGCGCCAGGGTTGATCCCTATGATGGCCTCATCCCTCAGGCCTTTCCTGCTGGAAGCAGTGGGTTGCTTATCCTTACAATTTTCTTTTTCTTTTTCCAACAGCCCTTGCAGATGCCCTAAAGAAAGCCCAAGAGTCAGGGGACAAAGTGGTGAAGGAGGTCACTGAGAAGGTGACCCACACTGTCACCGACGCGGTTACCCACGCTGCGGAAGGCCTGGGTAGACTGGGTCAGTGAGCTTGCACACCACCATGCCTGCCCCTTCCCGAATGTCAATAAAAAGCATGAAATGTGAACAGAGTCCCGAGTTTACTCCTGTTTGGATGGAAATCCTAGGCAAAGTGGTTTTTTGTTGTTCTTTGTTTTGGACACAGGCCTTACATGGAGCAGGTTGGCCTGAACTTACTTGCTGTGTAGCTGAGGCTGACCTTGAACTCCTGACCCTTTTGCCTCTAACTCCTGAGTGTGGGATCACCAGGAATGGCTGTTGTTTTTTTTTTTTTTAATGGAAACACTGTATATTGTTAGAGGAGCATCCAACATGGTGGGTACCTGCCACCTCTTGTGGTCCCTATCCAATGAATCAGGTGAGGAATTATCTTTCCAGCAAGCAGTCCATGTGTGTGTGCGTGCATGCGTATGTGCGTGCGTGCGCATTTTCAGGCAGGATCTCTCACTGGCCTGAAACTAGCCCAGTAGACTAGGCTGGGGGACCAGCAAGCGCCAGGGATCTGCCTGTCTCCACCTCCGCAGCACTGGGAATACAAGCTCACACCACCACCATGGCTGTTTTAATTTTGTATTTTAAATGTGGGTTCCGAGGATGGAGCTCAGGTCCATGATTGCACAGCAAGCCTAGGGAGTTCTCACCCTTGAACTGTCAGCCCTCTCCCAGCCCTCTCTCCCTTTTCTTTCCTTCTCTATTTGTCAAATGACCTAGGGTTAACAAGCACTCCGCCTGTTTTCTACCACGGAGCTCCATGCCCAGCCTCTGCTGCAGGCGTGTCCAGGTGTGCAGGCGCTCAAAAGGCAAAGTGCACATTCCCTGTAGCATTCTTTGGTTTTCCTTGCAATGGAGGGTACAGAAGCCAGTCATGGAGGAAGACATCCACTGCTTGTTTCTGGAGGCTCCTGGGGGACTCAACCAGGAGACTTGTGGCTAAGACATAGGTAGTGGGTGGCAGGGACCCTCCTCCTTCTCTCACGAGCAATCAGCCCCTTACAGTTCAAATAATGTGTGGAAGACTGGATGTGGTGGCATATCCCTGTAATCTCAGGGCTTAGGCGCTGACACAGGAGGATCAGGAGTTCAAGATCAAGCCTTAGCTATGCAGTGAGTTTAAGGCCAGCCTCGGCTAAGACTCGGTCTATAAACAGTGTGCAAGTAGACAGCATTGAGCAGTTTTGGAACAGAGGCCAGGTTGTGATGCTACATGCTGTAATTTCCAGCACTTGGGAGGTGGAGGAAGGAGGCTGAATCCAAAGCTAGCCTGGGCTACATGAAACCCTGAAAAAAGACAGGGGCTGGGGACAAAGTGGACAAAAGCTGGAGGAGCGTGAGGCCCTGAGTTTGACCCCCCAGCATCCATGTTAAACACCCGGGTATGGAGCAGAGCTGGGTGGTCCTGGGATCTTGCTTGCCAGCCACTCAAGCTGAATGAAATGATGAGCTCCAGGTTCAGAGAGACCCTGCCTCAAAAATCCGGGTGAAGAGGGGCGGAGGAAGATACCCAACATCAACTCTGGTCTCCATGTGTATGGGCTAGTGTACATGCACACACATGCAACATGTGTTTATGATACACATATACATCTTTGGGAGTATAAATTTAGAGAAATCCTATGTAAAACTATTATTTATTTATTTATTAAAGACAGGGTTTCTTTGTGTAGCCCTGGCTGTCCTGGAAGTAGCTCTACAGACCAGGCTGGCCTCAAACTCACAGAAATCCGCCTGCCTCTGCTTCCTGAGTGCTGGGGTTAAAGGCATGTGCCACCATGCCTGGCTCTGGTTCTAAGATTTTATTTATCTTGCTGGAAGCTATTTGCTCTTAGCAGAAATGAAGAGAAAAGGTCAAAGAATAACTCAGTTTCTTGCCACATTCTGGCCCTTCTGGAACTGTCTCACAGATTTCCAAAGGCCAATACTGGAAGGTACATTGTCTAGCTAGTGCTGGACTTATCTTGGTTTGGCTCCTGAAGATTTCTGAAACTTCTCCAATCCAAACCCAAGCTTACAGAGCTAAGGACACTATGAGTGGCAGCCATGGATTGGAATGGTCTCCTCAGGTGTATAAAGCTGCCCAAAGGGGAAATGTAGACTTACTATTACAGGTTCATGGTAGCAAGAGCATGACAGCAAAGACAGAAACATCGGAAATCATCAGAAATCACTCAGGCAAAAAGTCGGGCTGTTCACGAGGCTTTCCACACACTGTGGAGATGGTGCCTATAAATTCTACTGAACTGTAAGTTCCTCAGTCAGGGAGTGGGATCTGTGCCTGGAAGGCTACCATCTTTGGCTAACAAATGCTGCCTATAATGGAAATGGACTGCACATGGCTACTGGAAGGGCTGGGGATGTAGCCCAGTGGAGGAGTGCTTGCTGCAGACAAGCAAGGGCCATGCCCAGGCCCAAAACACAGCTAGAGGAAGGTAAATACATTATGTCCAAGTAAATTAGTAAGCAGCAAAATATACATGCAGAACAAGTTCACTTTTCATAAGGCAAATGACATAATCATATAAGAACAGCATAAAAATCTAAACAGCTTATACCTGATAAAATATTAACAGTGGTCCTCTCTGTCTGTGGGAATATGAGAAATTCTTACTTTAGTACTGTATACTTCTGTTTGATTTTAAGAGGAAACTAATGCAGTTGTTTTAAAAGTTTGGTCATGGAGGGCAATATTAGCTTATTCGAGATTGTTCCCTAGTGAAGTACCACTGAGAGTTGGTGACCACTTGGGAAGAGCGAAGGAGCAGCATTCGGAAGCAGAGCACTGTGGCTCTGTGGACAGCCAGGGTGGACTGAATGCAAGATTCCTGCTTAGCAGGCTATGGAGGCCAGTTTGCACTGTCGAACTTGCATGGCAAGTCCTCATGTGAACTAGTCCACATGCCACGCGGTAGATAAACAATGAAATTGTCCTATCTCAGGCTGACACGATGGCTCAGTGGATAAAATGCTTGCTGAGTAAGCTTGATGGCCTGAATTCAATCCCTGCAACCCACATCAAAACACAGGAACCAAGTCCACAAAGTTGTCCTCTGACCTCTGCACACACGCACACCATGGCATGTGAGTGACCCTGCCCCACAGTAACAATAAAATATTAAAAATTTGTCCCATCTCCAAAGAGAGTCAAAGTGTGGCCTACATTTTAATTCCCCTCCCAAACCGCTGTTTCCTAGAACAAGTGCATCTTCCATATTTTATTTTCTTCCAAGTGTACTTGGCAATGAGGGGCATGAAGTCAGTGTTACCGAAATCAGTGGTGTCAGAAAAAGTAATGCACTGCAGTGTTCAGCTTCTATTCCTGGTCACCCTCTACCCTCCCTGATTTTACCAGTCTAGAAAACCAATGGCCTGCTGTTAGTGAACATCTACAGTCCTGAAATTGCAGCACAGGGAAGCTTGAATTAGGATTGCCAAAAGTTCAAGGCCAGACTGGGCTATGAGTTAAGACCCTGTCTCAAAAAAGCTGAACAGCCTAGAAGACCTCTGGAAAGACAGAATGTTGTTGGAATTCTTTCTTGCCAGGTCTCATTTATCTGGGCATGGTGACATATACCTTAAATTCCAACACTCAGGATGGACAGGCAAGAAGATCATAAGTTTGTGGCCAGTGTGAGCTATGCAGGGAGACCCTATCTCAAAAAAACCAAAGGCTGGGGGTGTGGCTTAATGGTAGAGCACTTGCTAGCATGTGCTAGGTCCTGGGTTCCATTTTAGAGCACCACAGAAAACCAACAGATTCCTAAACCACAGACTTGCCATCGTTTGAGCTGGTCCCTAGTCCCCAGGAACACCCAACACCAAGCTGTCTTTATTTCTCCTGACTGCTCGTGTTACAGTAAGTATTTTCACTGGGGGCAGTAGCCAAAAACACAGATGTCATCATTTATGTTGGTGGCTGGTAACAGTCTGAGCAAACAGGAAAAGAGGTTTCTATGGAAAAACTGGGCTGCAGGGATGGTACATTCCAACTTACTTCTGGGGTCTGGAGATGTCCTGTGCACATGGTATAATATCCCTGAAAATGCGCAGGGTGGGATGCAGTCCAGAGGCTGAGTACTTACCCATCACACACTAGCTGCTGTTTGTTTTAAAACTTGCCTGCATGTATTGTGCACCCTGGGTATGCCTGGTACCCACAGAGGCCAGAGATGGTGTCAGGATGGGAGTGAAGATAGTTAAGACCTACCATGTGGGTCCTGGGATTGAAGCCAGGTCCTCTGGAAGAGCAGCCAATGCTCTTAACTGCTGAGCCTCCAACCTCTATCTTTTGATCCCAATTCCATAATCTTATCTCTTTGAGCTCATAGGAGGAAGTTAGTATAGCCTTTGGGTTGTTTAAACCGGTTGGCCACTCAGCAAGCTGTTAGGCTATTAGGAACACACAACCCGAAATTTTAGTGGAAAAGGTCTCGGTGGTCCACCACGGCAGCAGCCAGGTTAGAAATGGCAGCTGTTGTGAGGCACGGAAACTCCCTTTCACCAGCCTTTCCTAACTAGTTAGCCAGAGAGCCCTCGCTTGTTGGACAGCCATTTCCTCTGGAGCCAGTCCTTGGGTGCACTCCTCTGTGCTTTTTCCCCATCTTTAGAGAACCACAAAGAGGCCCTGCAGTTCCCAGAGAGAACTTCATTGTAAACTCAACCCCTTAACTATTCTCCAGCCCCTGACCCCGTCATGAGCATCTTACTCTAACCCTAGCCAGGCTTCTCCACCATAGCCAGGATTGTGCCATATGCCATAAGGAAGGGCTGGGAGGCCTGAGCGGCCATCTGCCTGGTATGAATTGTTTTGGTATTTTGGAGACAGGGTTTCTCTGTGTAGCTTTGGAGCCTGTTCTGGATCTCGCTCTGTAGACCAGGCTGGCCTCGAATTCACAAGAGATCCGCCTGCCTCTGCCTCCCAGTGCTGGGATTAAGGGCGTGTGCCACCAATGCCCGATGTCTGGTATGAGTTTGAGAGGGAATCATTCTATGCTTTCTCCGGGCCTCACAATTCATAACATCTACAGTGATTAGCAAAGATGCACTTAATTATACCTAAGGATACCAGTGTGC